GTGCAAGGCCCAGATGACATTAGCTGATAGCTGTAGGCTGGTGTGTGGGCTCCTGAAGTCCATACCAGCCCTGATGAGGAAGTAGACAGGAAGCTTTCTGTCTGCCTGTCATAGATTCAGATTAGAACTAGACCTAAGCACTGTTGGCTTAATGTAGCCCCAGAATCAATGGTCTGAAAGACTCAACGTGTCTGGAGGGTCTAGCAGAGTCCAGCCCTTTCCCCTTTGTCCAGGAGGCCAGCACACCCCCCCAAATAGGCCATCACCACCCCCTTAGGCTTTGCCTTCTGCTCAGTGTCAGGGAGCTTCTGCCGTGAGGCCCGCTGCTCGCTGCCTATCACAGGGCACACGCTTCTAGACCTCAAGTCCAGAGGCCTCACTATAGCCTCCTGACCCAGCCCCCCAGACTGAGCCGTGCTCCAGGGTGGGCAGAGCCTCCAGCCGGCCCAGAACCTGAAACCAGCCCAGAAAGTGGGAGGAGGAAAGGGCCAGCCCCCTGCCTAGAGGTTGGGCTGGCAAGGGAGCCCCCATGATGTGATTTGTCCTCTTGTCAAGCCAGTGCTTACCCTTGAGCCTGGCCCATGGCCCTCTGAAGACAGACAACCCCACCCCAGCCTAGAGGCCCACTGGTGTTCTTCAGCATCTCATCTCTGGAGGCCCCAAGAGGAAAGACAGGTGTGGGTTCTGCCACATGAGGAGCACAGCCACCTCTGCTACCCCAGAAGACCCCCTCCTCCAGGTTGGGCTCTGAGTGAGTCTGGGGGCTCTCTCAGCAGGGGTCTCTTCCTGTGAGGGTGTACGGGAGATCTGGGGGGAGCTTGTCAGCCAGGCATATGGGTGGGTCTAGAAGAATCTGTGCTCCTCTCCACAACAGGAAAGTAGGACCCGCCTGTGGTCCCAGCTCCAGGAGGGGTACAGTGATGCGTCAGCTAGGTTCTCAGCTGGAGAGCCACCTCATTCCCAGTCTGGTTGGACAGGTTGAGGCTGACACACCTATGAGGATCCGGAATGCCCAGAGAGCCTGGGCTGGGGCTGGAATGTGGACCTCCCTCCCAGGGTGTGTCGGCGCCCCAGGAGGGGTGAACGGGGAAGCCGTGTTGTGGAGCAGCCTCAGAGGTAGCCTCACCGTGGGCTCCTCCCTGCAGCCCCACAGTCCCCAAGCAGGGGGCTCCAGGGACCAGGAGGTTCCAGCAGCCTCCAGCTGATTCCCGGCTTCCCAGCTGGAAAGGCTGTTACAGAATCCCAGGAATGTGCCTTGAGCTCAGAAAGAAAATTCCCAAAATAACTTCTATAAATACTTGAGGGTAGGGGCGGGGAGGCAGCTCGCAGCCTGGCTTGCAGCTGGCCCAGCACTAGGGGCTGCTTCCAGGGCAGGCCTCCCCACAAAAGAATAATCAGGCGCACAGAGTCAGGACCTGCCTGCGGCCCCTCCCCTGTGGGGGACAGTGTCAGGCACTGAATTAATGCAGTGAGATGGTGTGCAGTGGCAATTCTGAAAAAGGAAGGCAGGACCCTTCTTCCCCCTCATTCCCATCCCAGGCTGCAGCCTCTGACCCCAGCCAGTACCTCCACAGAGAACCTGGTCTCCTAATGGGGAGGGTCCCCCACAGAGTCTCCATCCAAACCTGAGACCATATCGCAGCTGGACCTTGGGACCCTCAGGCTGCCTTTGCGGCCATAAGCAGATCATTAAGCATGCATAAGTGCCTCTGGTGTATTAGCTGGCTTTGAGCCTAGGACCCTCCCACCTGAGCTCTGTTGTGCTGCTGCCCTGTGGGGAACAGCGAAGCAGGCAGGAGCTAGGGACCCTGTCCCTCAGCCCAGGAAGGGGCAGTGCAGGGGTTGCATATGAGAGCCTGCAGTAATGGAGCACAATCTCAAGGCGATGGTGAGGCAGGAGGTGCTGTCCTCAGGGAAGGCTTCCTGGGGAGCAGGCTCCCAGGTGGATGAGATGTGGCCAGATGCTCTCTCCTCCCTGAGATCCAGGAAGGAGGGAAGAAGAAATGGATGAAGTTGGAATTTGGGGGACTTGCCCCATAGCCCTGCCTCTCCCTGAGCACCTGTAATCAACCCTGGCCCCCTCTTATAGGTGCAGTGCCTGATCGCCATAAGCGACTTGCACATGGCTTTCTAGTCCCTGTGGGTGGGCAGCACAGCCCTGGCATCTCCCAGGTGAGGGTCAGATGCTGAGAGCCCCCCAGTATCTGGTTGAGTCTCTCTCGGTGCAGGGTGTCCCCTGGCCAGAGTGGAGAGGAGTCAGCAGGGACATTTGGATGAAATTGTATTCCCATGATCTCGCTGGAGACCTGTTCTCTGGGCAGCTGGGAGTGGGGGTGCCAGGAGGGTCACAGTGGGCCCTCAGCACAGCGCCAGCCTGGGGGCAGAGCAGGTGAGACCTCGCATCTTCCTGGGGTGGACCCCACCCAGTTGTCAAGCAGCAAACAGCTCTGAGTTGCTACCAAACATGAACAAGCTGCTGTCTCGGGCAGGTGGCAGCAGATCCTGTTACAGGCCCTGGGCCTCCAGGCCCCAGCCTGACCTGGCCCGGTGTCTCCTTTCAGGCTAAGGTCAGCACCCCAGGGTGGGGGGACGTGATCCAACCCCACCCCAGCCCACAGTCTTCACCCGCGGAGAGCCTTGCCCTCTAGAGAAATCAGCTGTTCCACCCCCTCCTCGCCCCTACAGGACCTTCCGCTCATCCTGGGGACACTTCCATTTGCTATCTGCCCACTGTGTCCCCCAGCTGCACAATTTCAAATTCATCATTGCAGAATCCTCACAATAGCCCATTGAAGGAGGACTATTCTGTTCCCCGGTTTACAGAGGAGGAAACTGCTGATCAGAGAAAATGGGCCTCTTGCCCATGGTCACTGCACTTGTCGGTGGTGAGCTAGGATTCCAACCCAGCAGGTCTTCTGGCTGTGGAGCCCTGGGCTTTTTCCTCTACAGAACATGCAGGGAGCCTGCTGCAAACCTTCCAGACCGAGAGTAATACCCACACACGCGCACACGCGTGCATGCACATGTACACGCCCTGTTCAGCCTACAGACACATCTGGCTCCTTCCCCAACACCCACACACTTCTTGAGATCAGGGGTTTTCAAACTGGGTTTTAGCAGTTTGTTTGAGCCCTCTTTTCAAACAAAATCTCATGTGGAAGCTCAATATACAAAAAGTGTGTAGAGGCCGCTGCGGCCCCGCCCCCTCTCTGGGAGGCCCTGCTGGCCTTCGGCCTCTGTCTGTCCTCTGTCACTCCCCAATGGGCAGCACTCGCAGGCTCAAACCTTCCATTTTTGGTGCTTAATTTTGGTGTCTGGCTGCCTGTCGTCTCGCCTTCCTTCCCTCCCTCCCTGTGGGCCCTGTTCCATCGTGAGCTGCTCGGGGTCCAGCTCCCAGGCCTTGCGGGCAGAACAGCTTGGCCTGGAGCCATGCTGGCCAGACTGGGCACTGCCCTCTGGTCCTGGGCAGCCCTGAGTCAGCACTGCTCCCCCGTGGCCTGAGGCTCCGCCCTGCCACGGCTCCCCTGTCCTCCGCCCCCTCTCAGGCCACGGCTCCCCTGTCCTCCGCCCCATCCGTGTGGTTCCCTGGGGACAGCTCCGTTCTGGGTTGAAGAGGCGTTGTGACTACAACTCCCCTGTCCTTTCCTGCCCCACTGGCCACAGGACCACCAGCCAGTGCCTCTGGAGAGGGAGAAGTTTTTCCTAGGGCTTCCTGAGCGCCATCTTTCACTCTTGCCTAATTGGTCATGTTCCAGGCTCTCAGAGGACTTTATGAAATCAGGCTTGTGCATCTTCCCTGGTGGGTCTCCATAGCAACAGAGAGCCTAACTCTGGGGAGCTCGGTGAGGAGGAAAATGTTCCAGCTAAAATTGTACATGGCCATCAGTGGGCGGGCACCCGAGAAGGGGCTCCAGGCAAATAGAAGGCATCTCCCCACCCCCACCCCATCCCCAACCTGTCGAGGAAGTCAGTGTTGTTCCTGCTTTACCTCATGTCTTTGAATGAGAGGACGGCTCCCCGTGCTGCCATCCCATGCCACCTTTGAGGGCGGGAACATAGATCAGTGGGATGGTGCAAAGCAGCCTTCCTGGGACCAGAGGCTGAAAGGGAGTCCTGGCCCCTCCCCCTGCTCACCACCTTGTCCCCCCACCCTTTCTTTACCCTTCCCTGTGGGAGTGGAAGAGGATGTAGAAGGGACAGGGTGCCAGTTTCACTTCCCAACTCCTTTCTGTGACAATTCCTGTCACTTCCTCTATCTCCCTGGCAACTGGGTCATTGGAGCCAAACAGCAGGGGCCAAGCTTCGCGGCCACCCCTGACCCCTCCTCCTAGAGCCCTTTCTTTCACCCAGCACCCGTCCCTAGTCCCCAGACGTCCGCAGGAAGGCCAGCTGCTGAGGCAGACAAAGGAGCTGCCCCCACCCACCCCCAAGCTTGAGGTTCTTCCCTCTGGTTGTAGAGTCCAAAGCTGGTAGCACACGTCCCTGGGTCTCATGGTCCCTGGGGAGAAGGGCAGTTCTGTAGTGCAGCAGCAAGGCCTGGGAGTAACAGATCCACTGGTTGAGGGTTCACGTATGCCAGACACTGTTCAGGTGCTTTACATGTGCTGACTGCTGTAAACTTCACGACAATCCTAGAGGCGGGTACTGTCATCTTTCCCATTTAGGAAACAGGGCCAGAGAGCGGTGAGTTGCCCAGGATCCTCCAGCTGGTAATGGGGAGACTCACAGCCAGGTCTGCTGACTTGAAAGCCTGTCCCTCGGGGCCAGGAGGGACAGAGCTCCCACACTGGGTGATCTGGGAGGCTGGGCTGGAAGCAGGGCTGGGCGGGGACAGGTTGGATTTGCATGGGTAAAGGGCACAGTCACTTGACCCTACCAAAGCCTGAGACTCAAGGCCCTGTTTGGCTGGTGGCCAGGCTGCTTCCCACTCCTTGCCCCGATGGCCAAGATGCCCCTCTCCCGAGACACCCTCACTAACCCGCCCTGTGCTTGCTCCCCAGGGTCTGATGCTGAGTCGACTGGGCCACAAGAGCCTGGCCCAGAAGGTGCTGCGGGACGCCGTGGAGAGGCAGAGCACGTGCCACGACGCATGGCAGGGCCTGGGCGAGGTGCTGCAGGCCCAGGGCCAGAGCGAGGCGGCCGTTGACTGCTTCCTCACGGCCCTCGAGCTGGAGGCCAGCAGCCCGGTGCTGCCCTTCTCCATCATCCCGAGAGAGCTCTGACTCTGCCCTGCGGCCACAGGGAGCCTGGGTCAGGGGAGGTTGGGGCCTCAGGGAAATACATCTCTAGGGAACACTTCTGCAGGCTGCAGCCCCAGTTCTCCTCGCCTCTCCCAGCCACCCCTGTATTCCCTCTGGGGCCAGCTGGCTCTGGGAGCTGCTCATCTGGAGCTGGGTGGACCAGATTTGCATCAAAAGCAAATCCCTTGCTCCTTGGGATTTAGACAGACATCATGGCATTCGTGAGCAAGGAAGTAGCTGGGAGGCCACATCAGCACAGGGGCCCCTCCCCAGAGAATACGTGCATCCTCTAAGTGTGCAGTAAGGGTCAGTGTGGCTTGGGTACCTCCCCTGCCCGTCTAGAAGCCCCTGTGATGTATGTGCCCCTCCCTAACATCCGTGACGCTGGATTTCCCGGCTTTGCACAAGCTTTAGTCTTGAACCTCAGCTCCCTGCCCTCCAACACCAAAGATGAACCCCACCAGCTGCCCTCTGACCGAGCCAGGAGGGTTTTCCTGGGTTCCTTCCTTGGCACCTCAGGAGACAGTCTAGTCTGCTTGAACCCTAAGTGACTTAAGTTGTGGTGACTGGACCTGCTCCCGAGAGTGCTGGCAGGGGAGCCTCGCAGTTGTGCTGCACCCCGACCCCTGCCTCTGTGCCTTAGGGAGCCCCATGGCCCTGTTCGCACGCCTCGGTTAGACAGGGTTTGGGATCACTCTCAGGTTTTGTCGAGGGCGGTCAGGGCTTGAAGAATCTGCTGGCAGGTGGGAGGAGGATGGACCTCCGGGTCCTTCTCCCAGACTTTGACTTAGTGGATGATGCCTGGCGGTGCCCCCCTTTGCCCAAGGAGGCCGGCTGGGCCCCACTGTGCTCTTCCTCTCTGCTGCCAAGTGCCTTTGGGGCCTCTGGGGTCTGGCTAGGGCCACTGAGCACCGGCCCTAACTAACCTTCCATTTCTGCCTACCCCATCTCCCTGGAAGTGTGCCCCAGCCCAAACAGCCTCCGTAGGCCCTAGGCCATAGCCCCCAGGATGGGCCTCAGGATACAAACAGGGCTGCTGGACCCAGCCCTCAGACCTTGCATCAGCATGTCCTTCCTTCAGGCCTTACCTTTCTGGGCAATAGGTACAATGCAGATCCTCTAAGGCCTATGATGTGGAGATAGGCAGTCTCTAGGACTGTCCCCAGTACATCTTACTACCCACAGCCCGTTTTCAGCTCAGGCTTTCTTGGGTGACCTGAGCCACCCTTCCCCACCCCCTGCCTGGGGCCAAATGGGGACTGTGGTTGGAGACCCAAGGAGGATAGAGCCTGGCCCCTCCTCTCTGGTTGCGCAGGCCTCTGTGTACATGACACCCTTGTCTGCAGGGGTCCCTGGGGGCTAGTGGGTGGGTGTCTTCCCTGCTGGCTCCCCCAGCCCTGCTGCACAATGCTCTTGGAATTCTCCCCAAGAAGTCAGCCCCTCGTGGGCCCATCAGGAAATTCCTTTTTGATCTGCACTCGGGTTTTTGTTTTAAAGCTCCGTCTGGTACGTGTCCCATTTTAAGGTGTGTGGAAAGGTCGGGCAAGGGCTGCCCTGGTTTGTCGTAGCCCAAGTCTGTTCCTCGGAGCAGGGGCTGTTAGAGACCCACCCTCCTGGCCGCAGTGGCTCAGCGCTGCATATGCCCAGATGCTCCTTCCCAGGGAGAGGCTGCACCCCTGGCCTTCCCCCACCGGGCCAGGGGACACTGGGAGACACCAGATCCTTTGCCTCTTGGTTGAAGGCTCTCTCTATGTGTATGTCTATGTATAAATATATATATATGATACAGATCTATTTTTATTCTGGAATTCTGTTTAAAAAAAAAGTAAACAAGAAAAAACAAGTGCTGTTGCTTTGCCTTGGGGGGGCCCAAAGATGTAGTCAGTTCTTGGTAACAGGAAAGGCACTGAACACGCTCAACTTGAAGCATTTCCTTGGAGGAGCCCCCAGAGGGGCTGGCCAAGTTGCTGACAGTTCGCAAATTGAATAAAGAGCCCCTTGAAGGTTTGTCTGAAGCAGCGAGTCCATTCAGCGGGCTGGTGGCCCCGCAACGGGCCTTCAGGGGGTGTTGCGGGAGGAGAGAGGCTGAAGAAGTCTTGAAGCCTGGGGCCTGGCCACACAGGTGGGGCAGGTGTGGAGGAGGAAGGAGGGGACGGAGGGGCCCGTTGAGGAGGTTGTGGTTTGAGCCAAGTGAGTGGATGAGAGGCAGGCAGGGTCCAGAGAGGGTACTGAGGTCAGTGCTGAATCCTGGAGGTGAGTGGCAGGAGGCAGTGAGGGGTCCAGGCAGGGCGGCTGGCTAGAGCAGGCCTCTTTGTGGCCTGCCACCTGTCCCTCAGATGGGCCTGAGCCCCCTGCTGCTTCCAGGGCCGAACTTGTCAACTGGTCTGAACATCTGAACAGGAGAAGCTCCTGCCGCCGGCACTGCCCATGGAGCACCTGAGGGCGAGGCCTGGGGGGAGGGGTCCTGGCCACATCCAGAGGGGCCACCTGCACTGAGAAGTCCATGCCACTACACTCCTGATATGTGTGATACCACAGGCTCATATGCTATAGGATAGAGGGTGCGGTAACATTTTAAAGGGTGACCTAAATTTACACAGAGGCTCTAGTTTCTTCGTGCACCTCAAGGGATCATCTGGCACCACCCCCAGGGCTGCTCCCACCCACTTTGAAGACAGTCTAGGACTCACGGCCGCCCTAGACAGAGCTTGGCACGCCTGCGGCCTCCCTGTGGCCTGGCCTCCCCCACTCCCCATTCCCCCCCCAGCCCTAGTCTCGGTTACGGTTTTGCTGTCCTAGTGAGGAAGGGTCTTTGAGTGCCCAGCTTCTCTTTCGCTGTGATACTTTATGTAAGGAAACATGTTCACAATCTTCAGTGATTTAACAATTAGAATCTGATTACTTGTCACGAACACTCACCCCCAGCTCACGGACCCTGGGGTGAGGATTAAAAGCCATAGGCGGTGTTACATTATCTGCCAGCCTAGGAGAAAGGTCTAGAAGGCTCATCTTACAAGGAAGAAAATGGAGGAAGGGGAGGCTGACCTCAAGTTGGTCAGATGTTGGAAGGTCAAGCAATGGTGGAGACCCAGGCCTTTCCTGAGCCCCAGCTGCCAGTCTGCAGACCCCTCGTTCACACACAAACCCTCACTGGAGAGGGAGGGAGACAGCCCCGAGTCCAACCCATTGAGCCAGAACAAGGGCTGAAGTCTGGGGCCAAGACTCGGGTTGCACTGTCACCCCCATGGCCCTCCAGCCCGCCCGCCACTCTCTAGGACACAGCCCTTTAGTATTAATAATGTTTATCTGCAGGCACAAATATGAATGGAATTCCAACCACCACCACCCAGACTCCTTTCAGTACCAAAGTGCCCATTGTTGCATTCGCATCCCCTACCCAGGCACTCAGATGTTGTCACCGTGCAAATATTTGTTGGCCTTGCTTGGGAAGCATCCAGCTAAACAAACCTCCCCCTGTGCATGCTACCGGCTCCTGATGGCAACTCAGAGTCAGGCAGCCTCATGCATAAGCAATCCATGGGACCAACCCACGTGGTGCTGACCCAGAGGGTTCTGGAGGCTGGGGAGGTCTTGACCAGAAAGTCTCCTGCCATCCCCTGCCAGAAATTCCTTCAAATTCTCATCAAGCTCTTCCAGTTTCAAACAACAGAGACGCACTGAAGGTAGCTCCAGGAGGAGACAGGGAGCTCCCTGGAGCCCTGGGGCAGGAGCTACAGTGCACAGACCTAGGGCCAAAGCAGCCATGGGTCTGTCTTCTGCGATGGAGTCAGCACTGAGCCTGAGCTCAAAGGCCCAGCTCTACCACTGGCTGGCCCTGTGGCCTTGAGCAAATCACCTAACCTCTCTGTGCCTGTCTCCTCATCTGTAAAGTAAGAAGAATACTGAAATAGTGCCTGCTTTGTGGATTGCTTTGATGATTAAGTGGGAAAAACATGGAAAGAGCCTAGAACAGTGCCAGGCCCATAGTAAACACTCAATACGTGTGTGCGATTCTTTTCTTTGCTTCTGTCTGCTCCTTCCTCCTCTCCCTGCCAGCTGGCTTTGCTCACTCAGAGGTGTGCTCCACTAGGACCACGTTCAATCTACACACGCTGGCAGCTCCAGCCCCACCACTGGCTGACCTACCACCTACAGTGCGGCAGTAACTCTCCTCTGAGCATCTTAGTTTAGATTCTTGGACGAGAGGATCCCATTGGCCCCACTCATTTTTTCATGGATCACTAAGAGTAATCAGTTATGACCAGAGGACATGGGCCTCAGGACACAAAATGTGGCTGCTTGAGCAGCCAGAGTTCCAGGTGGGCAATAACCTGGCCCCTTCTAACACCTTGCATCAGCCCCTCATTCCCGCACGCCTTGCCCTTCTGGGAACTGGGTACAATGCTGATCCCTCTGGAAGAGGCAGACAACAGAACTCATACTCCTTTGAACACCCATCCCTTTCCCTCCCTGTCATCGTCACCTTATGGTGCACCCATGGGCGGCTCCTGTCCTGGCTCCTCTCTTGGAATGAAGATGACAATGACAATCTAACGTTCTTGCTGCACTATACTATGTAGAAGGCACTTCTCTGTGAACTTTCTCTCCGACATTGCTCCTTTGGTAGTCAACAACGTTGGGAAGTTGGTTTTGTCCCCATGAAACGTGAAGAGGTCATGATTTCTCCACTTCCAGTTACTTGGTATACGGCAAGGCCTAGGAACCTAGGTCCTCACCCACAGAGCCCGCTCACTGGACACGGGGAGAGAGGCAGGAAGCCCCCGTCACGGCGGCAGCAGACTGACCCCTCAGGGATCCATGGACTCATGTATCACCCGAAGTCCTCTACTGGAGTGTCACAGGGGAAGATACACGGGTCCAGGGGCCCTTGGGTGCGCAGAAGCCCACCCCCTCTGCCGGCAGCTTCGCCCCTCTGGCTGCAGGCTTGGGCCCCTGCTTCGGTGGATTGGAATGGGTGATGCTGCCTGCCAGTGCTCACCCTTTCTGCAGCCAGCAAGGAGGTTCCGGAAGCGGAGGTCACTCACAAGGCTAGAAGGTCCCCCAAATAGCAAGGGGGTTCTGAAGATGCCACACAGTCCAGAAACATGAAAAGGTCTGCATTGGGCCATGTGACCCCACTGTCCTGCCCATCAGCTGACTGGACAATGAGTAGGTTCCAGAACCAAAGTTCCTCCCCTCTGGACTGACCCACAGCCTACAAGGTGGCCTGGGCACCCCTGTGCAGAGGCCCCCCAGACAGGTGGTGACTGTCACTGCTCACTCTCTCGCCCTCTCCCTCATTCCTTTTCCCCCTTAACTGTCTCTGGAATTTAGCAAGAAGAGAGTCATTGGAGACCTCTTTTAAAAACGCATATTATTATCTAATTTTTTCTGAACCATTTGAGAGGAGGTTGCATAAATCATGCCCCTTTACCCCTTCATACTTCAGTGTGTTTTTGCTAAGATCAAAGGTCATTGTCTTACACAACTACAGCACAATTAGCAAATGAGGGAAATTAACATCGACACAGTATTTTAACTGCTCTCCCATCCATAGCCAGTTTGTCACTAATGTTCTTTGCAGCACTGTTTCCCTCCAGCCCAGGATCCCATATTCCACTCGGTTGTCATGTCTCTTTAGTCTCCTTTCTTCTGGACCAGTCCCTCCACCTCTTTCCCTTTCACGACATCAATGTTGCTGAAGGCTGCAGAGGGTCTGGCCTCTGCAATGAAAATATGGCACAGAGACCGAGGGAAGCAGTTGGTGGTGGGAGCAGAGGCTGAAAAGCAGCAGAAGCCGCTGGTCAGAGAGGAGAAGGGAGAGCAGCTAATAGGCGTGGGAAGGAAGAGAGAAGCAAAAACGAACAGGAAGTGAATTTCCGGAAAGACAAAGCTCTCAAATCAAAAGAAATGGACGCCCACTTCCAAGGGGGCCAAACGATGAGGGGAGCACTAGCACTGCACGCTGTCCTGAACAGCCTTCCCAGCTCCTGCTGCTGATTTTGAGGTCGAGACTCCCATTTGCTTCCTTTCTTCTTTCCTTGCAAGGACGCCCTGATGACTTAAGGGACCCCAAGTGTGTCTGTTCCTGGTGGCCCTACACATCCCCAGAGAGGCCACACTCTTCTTCCCTGGGTCCCCTCTCAGTGTGCACCTGGAGACCAGCCTTCAGGGGAATGTGCACAAGGGCATGCCCCTGTGAGGGGAGGGGGGCTCTGACCAGAAGCAAAGGGGCTCTGGTGGGCATTATAAAAGCCAATCTCACAGGCGAGGGAAGTCAAGGTGCAGGAAGGGGAGGTGACGTGCCCAAGGCCCCCAGCCGGCCAGGGCAGTGACTGACACCCAGGCAGTCTGCAATCCAGAACCTCAGGCTACTGCGTTCTGCGAGGTAAACCTGCCGCCTTGAGGAACGTATATGCTGAAATGGAGATCAGGGCAGACATGAGGACACTGTTGCAAAAGGGAACTGACCTCAGATGTCAGAGCTGACACCTGAGATGGGTCCCTTCCCTGCTTGAAGGTCAGAGCACAGATGGCTTCCCCAGCTCCCTGTCCCCTGGGCAGTCTCTGTAACTGCTCTCAATCGCTTCAGTTTGGGCCCAGAAAGAAGAGGCCATTGCAAGCTCCTCTCACCTGTCTTGTGTCCAGGAGCTCACAGCTCACTACCCCACCCCCCAACAAGGCCCAGGGCTCTGTGGCTGTGGGTGGCAGCATCCTACATGATTCACACTCCGCACTCTTGAGAGCACCCCTCAAGGGTACAGGGGCTTTGACAGCCTGGCCCACTGCAAGCGAATGTGAGCCCACAAGGGCCCCTGCCGCCTGTGCCAGGCTGGGGCCAGGGCGCCTCCTCCCTCCAGACAGCTTCTCTCCTGAGCTGGGAGCAACACCCCCCTGGGGCCTTGCCTTCCTTCCCTCCTCCTCCTCCTCCCCTTTTCTTCCTCCCGTGAATCTACTGGATCTCCTACGGCCTCAAGGACCCATGTCCTCCCATGTCGACTCCACCC